TATTAGAGGATCAAGCATTCTTCCACTCTTTTTCCTTTCCATTTAACCACTTCATGTCTCTAGAGACACCACAAGGCATTAGTTTTTAACTGTAGCAATTTTCCTCCTTTATATGGAGCAGACTTGAAGAGGCAGAAAACCAGAGTAACAAAAAATGCCCCAAAGCAACCAAGGAGGGCCTTCCCCACCCACCTTTCTACTCAACACAATAGGTTTCCTACCTGCAACAAAAGGTGAGCTGCTGCTGGAGGGGATGCCCAAAATATCCCCTAGAGAAATCTCACGCATGGCCTTCTCCTGGTTCTATCAATGGATATGTGAGGCCTTCAGAATGAGGACTTGACAGAAATCGGAACACTTGGCAAAATGTTCTACTAAACACAAGTCAAGAATGCCTCACTAGACCAAAGGAGGTCATACCTTGAAGACTTAAGATACAGAATTCTAAATATTCATGCCTAAAATTAAAATTAAATCATATAAAGAGCTAAAGAGCAAGGCGGTCTTCATCAAGATGTTCTGATTAGAACGGTATCACTGAAATGCAATTTTGAGAAAGTAAAACTGGCATTTTCAAAATCCTTACCGCTTCTCTAAGATATGCACTAATCTAGTGATCAAAAGATAGATATACCTTACATACCACCTGCCCTGTGCCATTAAAATTCGGAAGAGGAGCAAGTCACACCCGATACACAGGACTACAAAAGAATCTTTACCCCACTTTATTATGCCAGATCCTAAAACTGTCCCACACAGAATCTGTTTCCAGAATCTGTAAGTGTATACAGCAATAAATTATTTTTTATCTTCTCTATAGTACTGGGGACTGAACTCATTGCATTTAATAAAGAACATAAATTCTCACTAAACTGCACAAGTTTAAACTTGTGATGCTCCTGCCTCAGCTTCCTGAACTGCTAGGATTACAGGTGTGAGCCACCACACCCAGCTTAACTTTACATTCTTAGAAGCAAGGACAGAACACATTCCCTGAGCATGAAGGCAACAGATTCTCATCTTTTTATCATGCATATTGGAAATAGGATCAAGAAACACTTTCAGAACTTATCTGGTACTAACTTTTCTGAGTAATTTTTTTTTTTTTTTTTTTTTTTTAATTACTAACAGCTTTTATGGCTGGGGTGGCAGCACACGGCTATAATCCCAGCACCTGCCTATAGTCCCAGAACTCGGGATGCTGAAGCAGGAGTTTCCCCAGGAGTCTAAGGTCAGCCTGGGCTACTTACTGAGTTCAACGCCGGCATGAACTACAAAGCAAGACTCTGTCTCCAAAGAAAAAAATCACTGTCAGCTAGACAAGGTAGCTTACACCTATATCCCAGCACTCAGCAACAGTAGGCAGGAAGACCACCTTGAGTTTAGGGCCAGTCTGGACTACAGAGTTCATTCATTACATGAGACCCAGTCTCAAAAAACCTAAATAATTAAGTCACTTTCCTTCTCTATCAATGCCCAACCTCAAAAAATCTTAAAAGCCAGGTTTGGTGGCACTCACCTGTATTTCCCAGCACTATGGAGGATGGGGCAGGAGGATCACTGAGTGTTCAAGGCCAGCCTAGGCTACATAGTAAGTTCAAGGCTAGTCTTACACAATGAGATTCTGTCTCAAAAAAATAAACAACTTGAAAGTTACAGCTTATGGGCCAGGGATATAGCTCAGTGGAATAAATGCTTGCCTGGCAAGCACAGGGTCCTATTTCAATCCCTGGTTCCAGCAAAAAAAAAAAAAAAAAAAAGTTGCAGCTTAAATACTATTTTGTAATGCTTTTTTTTGGTCACTTTGAGACAGGGTCTCACTTTGTAGCTCAGGCTGTTATCAGAACTCCCAAAGATACTCCTGCCTCAACCTCCAGAGTGCTGGAATTCAGGTGTGCGCCACCACATCTGGCTTTGTAAAGCTTTAGAATCTCTTTATCACTGGATTCCAGGTTTCTTTCCTATAAAGGTAACACACTCAAACACTGTTGGTAGATGTATTTACACTACAGAATTTGTATGCCTGAATCACCGTTTTAAAAAATTTCTGAGAATCATGGTGTACACGCCTATAATCCCAGCACTTGGGAGGCTGAGGCAGGAGAATGGGCCTGGGCTACAAAGTAGGCTGTAGGCCAGCCTAAGCTGCAAAGGGAGACCCTGTCACAAAGAAAAAGACACACACACACACACACACACACACACACACAGAAAGCTTCTCCAACCAGGGATATAGCTCTGCAGCACAAGTACCTGACTGGCAAGCACAGGGTCCTAGGTTAAATTCCATTTACCTAAATAAATAAATAAAGCAGAAATAAAGTTTCTGGGATCCCTGGGCACCCATTTGCAATACCAGCACTCTTGAGGCAGGAGGACCACAGCTAGTTCAAGGCCATCCTGAATTGCACTGAAACTTTTAGTCTCCAAAAACAAGTTTCTGAAGTCTAGAATTTTGGACTCATTTTAACCAGTTCTGGATAAAAACCATAATTAAGTATCAAGGGACAATTTCCTTTTACATTTATAAATATCCAAATAGCACGTCAAAAATCAAAACATTGGGGGCCGGGGAGATGGCTCAGTGGAATAAGCACTTCTGTGGCAAGCACAAAGGCCTGAGTTCAATCCCTGGTTCCACCAAAAAAAAGAAAGGAAAAAAAAAATCAAAACATTGAATTGTAAATTTGAAAGTGAAGTACCTCCACTAAAAGTTACTTGCAAACTTAACACTACACACTGCAGGACTCAAACATCAAACAGTAAGCTGCCCCACATGAAGTTCATAGGGGAAAAAATCTTGCATGCACCCAGACTGGATACAACTAACCGTACATCAAGAATTCCTGGAGTAGAAACTTAACGAAAGGAGAGAAAAATTATTCCCTACAATTTTTTTAAAAAGTAACTAATACTGGGGCTGGGAAGATGGCTCAGTGGAATATGCGCTTCCCTGGCAAGCGCAAGGGCCTGAGTTCAATCCCCAGTTCCACAAAAAAAAAAAGTAACTAATACTAAAATTAATTCAGTATTCATCATAAATTCATCCCAAAGTAGAAAGGTTTTTTTTTGTTTTGTTTTTTTTTAACATTTACAGCTCATAATTATTCAAAGATCTCTCATGTAGCAAAGATTTTGGTTAGTAACCAGGTGAACTACTACCAAAATGAGTTGGCCAAACTTATACCATGTAGCTGAAGAGCACATGTGGATCAGATGGAGAATGCACCTGACATGTTCAAATGGAACTCCAAAACGATGCTGCTCAAATAGGGATCAGCCATATGAAAAATACAAAGCTTGCCTTATAATATCGAAGTTATTAACTCAAATGAAAAACTCCTATGTTAGACAAAAATTCAAGAAACATCATAAAAATCTCTGTCAAGAGTACATGCGATGTTGGGGCCGGGAGATGGCTCAGTGGAGTAAGTGCTTCCCTGGCAAGCGCAAAGCCCAGAGTTCAATCCCCCGTTCTGCAAAAAAAAAAAAAAAAAATGCATGCGATGAAAAGCTGAATAACACTAGAGTGGAAAGGAAGACAGGGAAAAGTGTATGCATTTTGGAGAAAAAAAAACAGCTGAAAAGAATTCCCGAAGCCCACACAAACTTCAAAAGCATAAAGTTCATGCACAGCCAAGGTAGGTAGGTCCTACCGTAGGTGAACACTGCAACATTCCTTCTCAATTTTTGCATATTAGCTAAAACTTGTGATTCGCTACAGATCTACTTTATAAAAGCAAAGGATTCAAATTACTTGTCGTGTCCTATTTTTATCCTTTAAAATGAAGTTTACTTAGAAACATGCCCTAGAAGTTCTCTACAAACTTTAACTATTAGGAATTCTTGCTGGCAGACGGAGGGATGACACTGAGGCTGTTCTCTGAGAGTTAGAGATGCTCATAGTAAGGAGCAACATCTTGTGGACTGTCAGATGGCCAGCCATTCTTCCTCTTCATCACTCTGGCATCTCAAACTAAGACAGCAAAAGAGAAGGCTGGTGGCCATGAGGACTCCATCATTAAACCAACAGTAAGTACGATAGGAAAGAAGGAATGATGGAAGAGGTCTCCCTGAATTTCTCCTAACAAAGGCGCTGTGCTTAACTGAGTGAATGAAGAAGCCCAGAGAACTATTAAACTAATCATAAACTCCAAATGTTTGAAAACTAAGAGGGCAGTAACAGGCACAAACACAAAATCTAACACACTTTCTAAAGTTCTGGTCTCTCAACTACTAATCTCGATTTCCAGGTACACAATTCGAAAATAAAAATGGCTTTTTCTTTCTCAAGTAAAAAAATGAATAAACTGCCCTACTCCCAAATAAAAATACAGTTTCAGACACTGTGGTCCCACACCAAATAACTGGGAAATGCGAAATGAACTGCGCTCCATATTGATTCTTAAAGCAAATAAGGGGGGAGCCAAATGCTGTAGACAGAATAAAATGATTTTCCAAATTTCACATCAAACCTGAAACCCCGGCTCCCACAGCACAAATATAAATAAAAAAAATTTTACACTACATTCCTCAGCAGAAATCTTTTGCAAAGGAGCGAAAACCGTGAAAAGGAAAAGTGGGAAAGTAGAGAAAACCAAGTAAGGGCACGGAAAGGATTCAAAATCCTTCACCAACAATGACAAAAAATAAAATAAAAATTGCATAAAAGCCCTTACACACAAATGCACTGGCGTTTCTCAAATCACACTACATGGAGGCAACAATAAAGGCTGTTTCCATCCAGAAGCCACTTCCGAGCTCTAGCTCTAATTCCAGAACACACATCGACATGACACAGTGTTGCAACAAATGTATCGGGGCAAAGAAAATGGTTGGGCTACTGGACGCCTTCGTCCAGCTCATTCAACCTTTAAGATTAACTACTGGTCAGGGAGCTACGAGGAGACAAGAGGAAAAAAAAAAAACCCAGAATAATAAAAGTGCAACGAGCAGAAAAGGTCCTGGGGTGTGGGGATGGCCGGGGCTCCCATACTAACCTGTGCCATCGCTGGCCGACGCCGAGAGGGCCGGAGACGAGAGTTTAGGCCGCTTGGCTGAAGGCGGCCCCGGTTCCACCACATTCTCGGCCATTTTTAATTCTTTCGGAGATACAGGCGAGGAAAGCGAAAATTCTCACAAAATCTCTTCTGCAGCCCAGGGTGCCCGCCCCGCTCCCGAGGGTGGGCTGGAGGGGGCTCGGCCGACCCCGAGGGGGGTGGGGAAGTTCCTTTTTCTCTTCGCCGGGTCGCAGCGGCCGGAGAGGGATGCGGACCCGAAGGAAAGGTAGGGGCAAGTGCGAGGGGCCGGGCCTGAGCCAAGCCCGGAGGAAGACACAGCGACACCGACCACCGAGCGCGTCCGCCGCGGCGAATTCCCGAGGACTCGCAGCTCTAGAAACGCTGTCCCCGGCCCGCCACGGCCGGCCCCTGCCCAGCCGAGGTCTCTCGGAGCTCCGCCGCCGCCATCAGCCTCTTCCTCCTCGGCGCTGTCCTCCTCCTCATCATCGCCACAAGGAGGCGGGGGCGAAAAGGGGGAAAGGAGGCGGCGACGAGACACTCACCTCCTCCCGGTGCCCCCTCCCGGGCCTGCGCCCCCACCCTCCGCGCCGCCGCACCGGCCCTAATGGCCGCGCACAGCTCACCGAGTCTAGAGCAAGGAGACGCCGCCACCGGCTCACATCGCGCGGCGACCGGCAGAGGCACGGCGAGAACGCCGGGCGCTGAGCTCAGCGGGCCGAAAGGCTAAGGGACCGGCCGAGTAGCGCCGCCCGCCCGCCCGCGCCGACGCCGAGCGCACCGACGAGGCCTCGCTCGGGCGGCGGCGCAGGCAACCTTCGCCCGCTTCTCCCGCGGAAAATTAATCAACAGGGCCGCGGCTCGGGCCCCCAGCCCCGGCAGCCAGGTGCCGGGATAGCCCGCCCCCCCGGGGCTCAGCTCCGGACGCCCCGGGCACGGGCGAAGGCGCCGCGGGGCGCGGGGTTATGTAATGGTCTCCCCTAGGCGTCGACGTCTGTCGGGCTCCCGGGCCGCTGTGGGGGTGTGTGCGGGTGGCAGGCGGGGGCTGGGGGTCGCCTCGGCCCGTGCGCCCCGGGCCCCCGGCCACTGTCTTGGCCTCGGCCGCCGCGCTCCGGCCGGCTCCTCGCCGCACTCCCTCGCTCCCGCAGTTCACACTCCACCCGTCGTCCTGCCTGCCCACTCTCGCCCGCTCCCTCTCGCCCTCTCTCTCGCTCCCCCCGAGTCTAGCACACAAACAAGATGGCGGCTGTTGTTTCTTCCCTCTGCCGAACCCTCCTTACAGGCTAGCGGCAGCGACGGCGGCCGGAAATGAGCCAAGGGGGGTGAAAAGGGGGAGGGGCCGGGCCTCCGGGGGAGGGGGAAGGGGCGGGGCCTCACGCGAGCCGCTCACACAATGGGGGAAGCGGAGCCGGGGGCGGGGCCGCTTCCAATCACGGGATCCGCCCAAAGCCCCAACGCGGTTGGCGCTTCCGCAAACTCCCCCGGCGTCACTCGTTGGCTCCCTTTAAAGGGGAGGTTTTGCGGCGGAGGGTCGAGGGTGGACTAGGAACCTATTTTCCGTCGGTAGACAGTTACGGGGGAATGTACTTGGGCTGGGCTGAGCGCAGGAGACCGGTGAGAGCGCAGTGACGGAGCCCGGGCGCTACCGGAGAAGGCGCCAAGTCACGGCGCAGGTAGCCGAGCAGAAACGCCAGTGGGCGGGCCCCCGGAACCCGGCTGGACCACCGAGCAGAGATTGCGGGCTGTCCCGAGTCTCCAGCGCATCCTCGGCCGCCAGGAGGGAGCGGCTACATCCCAGTCACACTCATTAGGAGTTGCATGTTCTCCAAATTTTCCATTTTGTTGGTCAACAAACACCTATATCACTTTCATAATTAGAAAAATCACAACAGTGAGATGTTTTAGGGCCAAATGCAAACCCATTCCTTGCCCGTCAAGTGCTCGCGTGCGCTTGCCGGGCAACCTCCTCGCCTAAGACTCCAAAGTGTTCTTGTGAACATGCCTGAGACCGGAAGACCTGCTAGGGGATTTTCACCTCAAAAAATAACTATAGGTAGTGCCTAGTTAATATAGATAAGGGGGAAAGCGAAGATATAAAGTGCTAAAGGTAATGTAAAACATGTAAAAAGCCAAAATGCACCGGAGCCATGGCTAAAGATGAGATCCTGGGTGGGGGACAACAGTTTCAGAGCTGAGAGTCAGTTTACACCTTGGCCTTGGCTACGTTGGTACTGAACGAGGTGGCAGGGTTGAAAGTGGTCTCCAGAGAACCCACAAAACGTTACGGAGATGCTTAAAACCTCAGGAGGCTGGGCAAGAGAATTGCAAGTGCCAGGCTTGCCTGGGCGCCATAATAAAACCCTTTCTCTCCCATTTCCTATCTTATGCTCCTTAGTGGTATCTGCGTGTTGCTGAAATGGCTGGGTTTTGGGACAGGGTTTTACTGTGTAGCCCAGGCTGGTCTAGGGTTTCTTTGGGTTGGTTTGTTTGTTTCCTATCTGAAGGATGAGCATGAATAACTTAAGAACCTAGGTGGCAAGGAAGCACTCAGGTTGCCCCCAAAGGTGGCATTGTATCCTGTGATGTCCTAGCCCTGTCACCCAAACTGCAGCATAAAAGCAGACACACGGGACAGTAGCTGTTTACCCTAGGGCTGTCACAGGGCTGAGTTCTGTGTAGGGGTATGGCCAAAATGGGCCTTCAGGAACGGCTGTTGTTTTTGATGGTGTAGAGACTCATTTACAGTGAGGAAGACAAAGGCACCATACTTGGGGGTTTGCTGGGAATTTCCTTGCAGGACATTGCTTGCCCAGTTTTCCAAGCACTTTCTGATGTTAGGAAAAAGATTTGTCTAAAGTTGTACAGAGGGCTGGGAAGATAGCTCAGTAGAATAAGCGCTTGCCTGGCAAGCGCAAGGTCCTGCGTTCAATCCCCAGTACCGGGGGGGAAAAAAAAAAAAAGAAAGAAAATGTTGTGCAGAGATTCCAGTTTGAGTATAAGCAGTTTTTAAATAGACCCTCCCCCATGACCCAGTGAAAATGTGAAGCTGGACATAGTGGCGCATGCCTATAATCCCAAGACTGGAGAGGCTGAGGCAGGAGGGTCCCTGAAGTTTAAGGCCAGCGTAGGCTACGTAAGGGCACCTTATCTCCCATCAACCAATCAAACCATAAAATACTGTGACTGTAAGTTTAAGAAAAAGAAGGCATAAAAACACTGTAAGAATATTGCACAGTGAAAATCAGAGGCCACCAACATGCCCAGGTAATCGGTAACTTGGTTGTTTGGCATGCCAGGCTGAGGCAGCAGGATCCTTGAGAGTTTTAAGACCAGCCTGGGCTACAAAGTGAGCTCAAGGCCAGCCTGAGCTGCATCAAAAAAAGATGCAGAGGGGCTGGGGAGTTAGCTCGGTAGAGTAAGCACTTGCCTGGAAGGGTGAGTTCAATCCCTCGTTGTGCAAAAAAAAAAAAAAAAAAAGTAGACCCTGTCTCAAAAACAAAACAAAACACCCCCCAAAAAAGATAAAATGTTAATTGTTGGCGCCATGTGCAGAGAAAGGTAAATCCATATGGAAGTTGACTCCCAACAGGGGGCACTCAGAAGATGGCAGAGTTGGTAGGGAAGAGTAGGGCACTGAGTTCAAACGGGAGGGGATCACAGGTGCGCCCCACCACCCCGCTAGGTTTTGTTGTCTTCGATGGGTCTTTCTGTGTTGCTGAGGTGGGCCTCACGCAACTGGCAACCCAGCAGCCTCAGCCTCGGGGCTCCCTGAGAAAGGCTCTGCTTTATGAATAATGGAGGGGCTGGCGCATGGTGAGAGCTCAGCAGCCTTTGGCTCTGACATGGAAGGGAGTGTGTATGCATTAAAGGGTCGGACGAAGAGGAAGGTGCAACTTGGGCAGGGCCAGTACTGCTGTCCCTGAAGCTGGTGACCACTCCCTGGCAACCACACTGGCTCTTCCACAGGCAGAGAAAGAGCTCCCTTGTAAGCCATTCTGTCTTCACCTTGAAGCCCAGTTAGCAATCCAGCTTCCCAGGAGGAGAGAAGCACAGATATCCGTGCAAAAGTCAAAGAGCCAGGCTTGGTGGCCACACCAGTGATCCTAGCACCTGAGAGGCTGAGGCAGGAGGATCACCACATGTTCTAGGTCCGCCTGGACTACAGGGTGAGGTGCTTTCTAAAAAAAAAACAAAACACCAAAAATAAAGAAAAGATATCTAAGGACACGTTTCAGCATGAAGACCTTGATTCAACCCTATTATCACAAAAGGTAGAAGAAAAAAATTGCAGAATTTGTAGGACAAATTTTGTGCGTGCACAGCAGGCCGGTCTTTCCTGCAGCTGTGCCACTGAGCCTTGAACCCAGGAAACCAAGGCCATTCCTGAAGGGAAAAGTTAAAATCCTGACAAAACTGCAGGTGTAATTCTGCTCAGTTCCAAGGCCCAGGTAGTGAAGTTTATAGAAAAGCAGCAGAGTGGGGGTACCAGCCCCAAAGCCCAGGAGTGACAGGGCCTCGGCTGGGAGGTGGTGATGGTCAGAATGCACTTACAGTCCCAGAATTGTGCACTCAAAAATGGCTAGGATAAAAAATTTGATGTCTGGTTTACCTTAATATATTTTTAAAATTTTCAGCAATTAAATGGTTAATTGCATGTAATCACTATTGTACTGCAATACAAACCTGATCAATGAAAGAGCCGTAGGATGCTAGAGTGTGCTGAAGTTACTTTAACATGGAGTCAGGGGGCCGGGGAGATGGCTCAGTGGAATAAGCACTTCCCTGGCAAGCACAAGGGCCTGAATTCAATCCCTGGTTCCCCCAAAAAAACCATGGAGTCAGAGTCTAAATTACCACAGTGTAATAGCCCTGTATTGCTAAGCTTCAAAACAATAATAGCATGTCTTTGGTGTCTTTATTTTATAAATGTACTTTTTCATAAAAATGGGTCTGAAACTAAGAATTATATACCAAAATTTGTTTTCTAAGGTGTTTTGTTTTTTTTTGTGTGCTGGGTCTCACTAGGCAGCTCGGACTCCTAGTGATCCTCTTCATTTATGCCTCCCTAGTGCTGGGGTTACAGGCGTGCGCCACCATGCTCGGACTCCAACATCTGTTTTTTCCAATTTTTTATTTCTTTTTTTCAAGACAGGATATCACTATGCAGTTCAGACTGGCATTGAACTCCCTACAGAGCCCATACTGGCCCCAAACTCATGGTGATCCTCCTGCTTGAGCCTCCCGAGTGCTGGGTTACAGGCCTGCACCATCACACCCGGCTCCATTTTATTTTTAATACAGGGTCTTGCTATGCTGCTTAGGCTGGCCTAAAACTTGAGGTGATGTTCCTGTCTCAGCCTCCCAAGTGCTTGTATTACAGGCATGTGCCACCATGCCCACTTTATTATTCTTTTTATTAATATAAGTTTGTCATACATAAAGATTACATTCCTGGGACCAGGGAGATACCTCAGTAGAATAAGCACTTGCCTGGCAAGCACAAGGGGCTGAGTTCAATCCTTGGTTCCACAAAAAAAAAAAAAAAAAA